TAGAATAATTTATCAATGGTCTTTAAGAACTACATGGTCATTTTCACATTTTTCATGTTATAGAATTGCTTGATCCTTTCAATGACAAAACATGTTTCAATCAAACTTCATAAAATATGATGTTTCATTTCTCGAGAATATTCTCAATTGTAGTTGTATTATTTAATTTCTATCTTTTAGACTCAATATTAGTAAGTTGTGTATCATCATGTCTCTTTGACTCATGCTGATCATATAAGAGTCTATCATCAGGTCTCATTGAGTCATGTCTATCATATAAGGTCTCTCATTACATTGATATAGATCGAGTACCAAAGTAGGCCTTTGTATTATGAGATTTTTATGTTATGAAAAAGGTTCAACTGAGCATATATCCCAGTCTCTTAGTCTTTTCTACTCAAGACTAGTGAATTGTGTATTATCAAGTTTATTTGAGACTTTAACCTATGATCGATGAAAATTAGTAGTACATGAGTGGTAGAGCTCGATCAAGGACTAATGACAATAGTTAAAGTTAGGATTGTCAAAACGGGTGGTCTGGTTCAACTCGACGTGACCTACAAGTTAAGGAAAAACAATTGATGGTCTAGCTTGACCTATAGGCTCCTTCTTCTTGCACCCCCATAACACATGTAAAATGAACAAAATACTCTTATACTAATTTTTGTTTGAAACCCTAAGAAGAATCTTCACTCTTGTGTCGCTCTTCTACACCTCCATATCCCTTTGCATCTCCATATCTAATACATCTTTGCTTTGTCGCCTCTCCACCTCCATTGAAGGATGTTTCTCGTTGATAAGGTTAAATGGTTTATGCTTTGGACCCGTTACAAGATTCTCATCCCAATTTGCATCAGTTTTGGAATAGGTAATTTGGAATGCATTTTTGGATTGTGTGTTCCAAAAATGAGTTTTGAATTGTGTGTTCTCGAAATGAGTTCTAAATTTGAAACTACAATTCGAAATGCATTTTTGAAAATTTGAATATATTGATGAATTTCTTTTGGTGTAGTGTAATTTTCATTATGGTCGGGACTAGGGGAGGTAGTTCTCAACTAGTAAATCACATTCGCCTAATTGCCTTTGTAATGCTTAGGGTTTACTCGGGAATCAAGTGTTGTAGATTAGCAACATCGTGTTGTAGATTAGCATCATCATGTTGTAGATGAGAAATATCAAGAACCTCCAACAAATGATCAATCTTTCTCCGGAGGGCCTATAGATACTTCATTGTTAACCAGATATGATGATCAGTGGCTCACAGATTATGGGAGAGAGTGATAAGTATCTTTTACCTCATAAGTTAGTGTGTCTAAATGTTAATGTTTTAAAATTTAAAAGTAATTGTTTTTTTCTTGTAGGATCGTGGAAAATTAAAATATGTTTTCAATGGCGGAAAAATGAATAAGTTTAGAATTCCACACACCTGCAAATTGCAGTTGCAATTCATTTATCTAGGTTGGAAGCACTTGTTGGTGCTAGTTATTACCCGATATATAAGTGATTATTATTTACCTTTGTTAAGAGATGACACAGTGAGACTAACAACTTCCATCTACCCAAAGGTGAGATGATCCATCACACTAGATAATGTGTCTGCATTATTGCACTTGCAAATTATTGATTAATTTTATGATTATGTTCGCTTGGAAGCATGGGAAGCTATCGAGGTGCTAGTGGAGGTCTTAGGAGTTAATGTTACAATGATTTTTACAAATATGAGACATTGTAGAGGTAGACATATTCGTCTTAGTTGGTTGCAAGAAGTCTACAATGATGTACACATAAACAATGGGAAATTACAACTCGAGCATATTTGATGCATCTTGTGGGTTGTTGACAAAAGGTACGACCTCTATTAGTGTATCATATTGTGATCTATTTCTATATCTTGCCATTGTAGTGGATATTCTTGAGGAGCAGCTACACTAACATTTTCTACTTCTGGTAACAATTAGATGCAAATATTTCTTGTATTTCCTATATTTATCACCTCTTTCACAACCTAACAATACATATGTCTTCCTTCTTTGATGATCATTTGTTGTTTTTGGCCTTAGTATAACAACCACAAATCCAAATTTAAACACAATCTCTCAAACTCATTTTAACAAATCATCCTGTATAGCAAATATCTATAACAATAAATATAAAATCATTATATATGATATTTATAAGTTATGACATTAATGTACAACTAAAACTTTTTCTTATCAAATGCATCATTACAATCAACTAAATTATCATGAATGTGTTTCACTATATCAACATTATTTAAACCCATTAACATGCCAACTTCATCTGACATATTATAATTTAAAAATCTTCCTCCATTGCATATGTGTAAACCGAAGTTAGCAAAATATCAATGCAGTAGTCTCATACTATTTTTGGTACACGATTACTGAAGTTGAGGATTTGGATTAAGATTTTCATATTTGATTTTCCAGAAACACATCATGGATTGGTAGATATGAGATACACTTCCAAATTTGTTTATCCAATATATATATATATATATATATATATATATATATATATATATATATATATATATATATATATATATAATTTATCCAAATTTTTTTAAAAATTAAGAAGGACTTATTCAACCTAAAATAAAAGAGTTAAAAACTTACTCTCCATCTTCATCCTTATTTTTCAATATAATGATTTAAAATAGTGTTTCATTTAACTCTTCTTATTGAAGTAAATGAAATTTTTCTTAAATTAATTTATGATATATGTATATGTATTAATAAAAAATATCATTTATATTTTATTTAAAATAATAAATATTTTATAAAATAGGTCAATCTATAAGCTTATACAAACTTACTTCCAAAACTCATACAAACCACCTATTAAATGGATCATACCAAAATTGATCTAATTCAATTTATACTACAAAATTTTTAACTTAACTTCACGTATTTCTCCACCTTTTATACCAGACACTCTTAATTAAATTTTTCCAATTAGAGATATTATCATGTAAACAGCGTAGATAGCTTAGAAATCAAGTATCATGAATACTTGTGCAACATGTGCCGTGATACATAAAACCACCACTAAAAAAAGATGCGGGGATTACTTGTTTGTAGGTTTATTCATAAACTCTAAATTAGTTTAAATCAATTAAAATGAATTTCTATAGTACTTACTTAAAATCTTTGTTACAATAATTTTAAAGGTAATATTGATGAAGAATCTCCTTTGAGGTGAGTTGTCATGATAATATTATAATCATTACATTTTTGTTACAAAAAATTGCAACCCATTTCTTTCATATTATGTAAATATTAACATATAATATGAAAGGTATTAGAACGCGATGTTTGAAGAGAAAATTCAATGGAGTTTACGCTTTGACAACCTGATTTTGGTAACTCTTTTACTGGATTCATATAATGGCACATCGAATTATCAAATTGTACAACCTGGTTTAAATTCTGAGAATTAATTTTTTTATTTAAATATTTTCTAAATAAGAAAAGAAAAATGACTACCAAACATACTATTATAGTTACACATATATTGGTTGGAGACCACTTTATATTTTCACGAAAAATAATTATATTTGAGTAAAACAAAACAAAAAAATTACTGTAAGCAACTAATTAAGTTTTTCTTTTGAACATTTAACAAGATTAAATATCAAAGACTCAAGCTCAAGATTATTACATAAACTTCATCTTAATTATTGATTTATGTGTTTAATGATGGTTACAACTATATTTAATTCATGTAAAATGATTTTCCTTTGTTATATATTTAGAGAATATAAAAGCAAATTCGTGGGAAGCTTATGTTAAAATTATGAACTTATATTTTTGAAATCTAAAATGAAGGAATATCATCATCTGAAAATTACTCAGACATATATGAAAATATTTTCGATTAACTTTTCTTGTAAAATATCTTTTTCAAATTCTGAATTAATTGAATTAAAAATTCAAAAGATGGAAATTATAATGAAGATATAAAATATTTTTAAATTCTGAATTAATTGAAATGAAAATTAAATAGATGGAAGTTATAATAAAGAATTTTTTTTCTCATTTTAATAATTATAACGAAAATAACAAGTGACAGATAAGGAAACTTTTGCGAGAATAAATTATTATTTTTATCAGAACCAGTTTGATCCTAAATAATAATTAGATTCATAAATTTAATCTTATATTTAGTACTTTCAGTATCTACTATATTTTGCTTACACAATTATCACTACAACTTTTGATAATGACAATATAATTCTTATAATAATTATAACTTTTTTTATAAGTGATATTATTCTATACTTAATATACTATTGCATTATATAAAAATATCATGTTATTAAAATCAATTCAGCGTTTATACTTCAATTCCATTCCTTTCATTTTAATAACATTTTATAAAAGAAGGACCCGGTGTAAATCGCTCAGTAGTACAGGAATATTTTGTGTATGATTGAGAATTAAATGGAGAAAGAAAATAAAATTGATATTAATGAAAATTAATATATTTGAGAACCCTTCTCATTAACTTTAAAATTATAATGTGTAAATTACAAGAATGTTTCAATACCCAAACATATTATTAACCCTACAAATTCCCAAGTACTAGCAAGAAATTACACCAATCATGAACCTAAACGTTTACAAATTTCAGACAAAAATCGTTTCCTCGGTTATACTATTGGTTAAAATTTTATCAGAAAAATTAAAATAAAATTAATAAATTGGAACTGATCACTCTGATATACCTACACCAAATCGTCAAGCTAGAACTAACATGGTACCATCCAAAATCAATATAGAAAACGATGCATCCAATTCATGAAGCTTCATATGCATAAAATGCATAATGCGTTTCATTAAAAAACAAGAGAATATAGCATAAAATTACTAATAAGGAGTCAAACAAGTCATAACTCAACTAGTTAAACACTAAAAAGCTCTAGATCCAAAACAAAGATAACACAACACAATAATTTGGAAAAGATTTTCAGCCAATCACTCATCTTCTTGGCTGCGCAACCTGGCCAGTTTGTTGGTAACAACAACATCCAACTGTGCAGCACGTTCCACAATCTCCTTTCTTTTCCTGGTTGACACATTGTGTGCTATCTCAGCACAGTATGTTCTGATGTTTCATCAAGCATAAGAACAAAGTCAGGAATATGATGTACCAAAGGGGTAATCACAAATTTTTACATGCAAAATAAAACCAGCTACCTGTTGTGCATCATCAGAAGTTCTAGATCCTTGACATTGTGGACAACAAACTTCTTGAATCCATTAGGCAGATAGTGACGGGTCTTCTTGTCTGAACCATAACCAATGTTTGGCATCAAAACACATCCTTTGAACTTTCTCCTGACACGTGAATCAATACCCTTCGGCCTGCGCCAGCTAGGCTGCATTCAACAATAAAAGGAATAAACGAATGATGCTCAAAATTATTGACCAAAATATACAACATAACAGATGAAGTATAAATCACAACAGCATATAAAAAAATGAGATGACTCTTTCCCCGAAAGCAATAGGAAATTGACGCAAAGATATTAACACTTGACATGTTAAATGTAAAGCACATATAAACTGTGACAATTCCTAATTTTCCAGCAGTAATGTTTTGATTTCAGCCTTACCAGTTTCTCTGACAGAATCAAACTCGTCAATTATGTGCTTGATTATAAAGTATGATTGAATACAGAAAATTGTAAATAAATTACGTACAAAACGAAACAACCATAGTATGGAATCAGGCAATTAAAATATATTACTGGAAAGTCTCTCAAGTTGCAACACTCTAATTTAAAACATTTAAGACGCGTACCCTTTGCAATCATAAATTCCAGACTTAAAATGGAAAATCTCCAGGAAACTAATTTACAGGCAAACTAGTCCTACACACATACCTTCACGGAAATTTTGCGGTCACTTTGAGGCCTCTTAAACTTCTTCACACGCTTCTTCACAACTTTCTTGCTTAGCAAGGGAACAGCCATCTTGTCTCTAATAAATATAAATAAACTTATTTAACATCCACACCATCGCAAGACAAAGGGAGACATTCAAAACTAACAAAACTTATTACGACCTTCACATTTAAAGAAAAATTATAGCAATACAAACAAAAGCTATAATAATTTTGAACAATACAAGGAACAATATCATATCAGAAAATCATGAATAAAGTCGAAAATCGGCAACTAAACTAAATAAATAGCTCAAATCTTATTCCAATTTTGGCTAAACCACACGGGTTTTATTCTAATCGAGCCATAGAAAACACATAATATCCAGGAAGCAATTTCAAAGACCTATGTTCTACTATTTTACGCCAATACGCCAATAGTTACGTTCGCTTCAACCCATGTCCATATTCCTCTAAACCAGACTGTTAATTAAGTAAAAACCAAATCTTTGTGTACATAAATCTAGTTTAAAAAGAAATGGCTTTACACAACATTGCATGAAGCAAAATTATAGTAGAACACAACACAAATTGTATAGAAACAAGAGTGTCGCATACCTGCTTGTTCTGGTGCTCCTCTATGAACCAGGCACAGAGATGTATGAACACAGCGGAGGCAGTGGCAATTAGGGTTTTTAAGTGCAATATATATGAACGGGTAATGATTCGGTGGTATTGGACCCATCTTAAATATGGTGCACCCTTATGATTCGGAAACTAAATGAACCTAGACAATCTAATTGGACCGGGCTTCATGAGTCGGACGAGCCTTTGTTATTTCCACACCCTTCTTCACCGTTAACATTATTTTTTATTTTATTTTTATTATTACAAAAGTATTCTTCACCAAAGTTCGTTTCTGTTGAGAAAATGTGTTTTTCCTAAACAAAACTAAAAATGCATTTATTTTGCATAATTTATTTAAAAACAAAATATGCATTACTGAAAATAAAATTGTTTTATTAATATATTTACAAAGTAAGTCTAACATGACATAAAATAAAAACCATACAAACACTTGTACATAGTAAAACAATACAATTATCGTATGTATGTTTCTTGAATCATAGTTTAATCATGAAAGTAAGGGTCCTATTTTAAGTGGACAAAAACCTTGTACAGAATATTTTACTTCATATATTTATTTTTTTAATTAATAAAATAAAATTAAAAATTATTACATTATATTCATATGTCTTATATCATTTAAAAATTAAAATTAAGTATCATGTTTTCTAAAAAATAAATCGTACTAAAATTTCAAAGCATAACTTAAATATAAAAATAAATCTAATTATATTTTAATATAAGAATGCAAAATACTCTTATTCTTAAATATAATATAAATAATATATCAATATTAACTGCTAATAAAATAAATTATAAATAATATATTAATATTTATTGATAAAATTAAAATTTTTCAGAGGAACCATTCACAAGCAAGACAGAATCCATAATAAATTATAATATTAAAAATTAATATGTAAGAACAAAAAATAGTAAAAAAAACTAATATAATAAATAATAATAATAATAATAATAATAATAATAATATGTTTTTACTTGGATTTGAAGAGGGTGTCCGAATTTTTTTCCTGGTGAATTAAGCATGTGTGATCAAAAGATGGGAGTACTTGCCAAAAACTTTATGATACTAAAGTAAGAAGTGAGAATGAAAAATAAAATGTAAATGAATGAAGTAATTGAGATTGAGATAGTAAACATGTTCGTATAGGAGTAGAAACTATCATAACTATTTGAGATGTATGAAATATTTTATCCCTATTTGTTAGTGAATATTTCGAAATTGGTATCCAAGTATCTCAAGTATTGCCCAAGATATTCGGATACTAGCGATATCCGTTCTTAGGATTTCGACAGTTATGATACTCAACTTGGAGTCCACTAGTGCATGTAGATGTATTAGAGGCGAACAAGTTTATATTTGCCTTTCTCTTATGGGATTCTTAGCATATTATTTTTTGTTAGTGCTCTTTTTGCCAATCTATCAGTCCATTAATCGGGAGGAAATCATGTAATTATTACTATTTGTTCGGAATACAAAGTGTTTTGTTCTTTTAAAAATCTTCAAGGTACTTCGTTATTCTCATCTTTCGTTTCTATTGATTCTTCAGAACAAGTGTCTCCTTTGATATCCAAGGATATGCGCTCTACGAGTCACGTCTTCCGACGAGTGTTAGAGGTATTAACATCTATGAAGAGGTAAAAGTGACCTCTAAGGTTGTTATAATAGTGATTTCCATCGTGGTTGCGGTCTTAGAGACGTAAAGGAAAGTCGAAAGTGGGTCAAGAGGGTTCAAAAAAACACCATTATAGGTCCGCGTACTTGTCCATTTCTACTATATAGGAATTTCGTAAGTCTTTTAATATATGCGAACTGTCTTATGCTCATTTGATGACTATTGAATTGTGTTCTCCATCCGATCGAATTTATATGAAGTCGATGATTGATTGCGAAGATTTTATTTTTGTATAATGAGTGGTTGTTTAAGGATCTAGAAATTTTGTTAACTTTCAATAACTTCGAGTGCAAGATGTTATCCATTTTAAGGGTGGCTCGAAGTCGATTCCTCCTAATAGATGGGCCTCTTTGAAGGCTTTCCAAATTTTTTGCTTCTTTCTTCAGTTGAGGTCGATTGTGAATGTTTTCATGTATTTTTATCAATTGAAATATGGCTCTAACATTGGTTAGGTTTCTCTCAACATGAAGGGTTATTTACAATGTATACTCAATTGTTTAAGAAATTCAATAACTGATCTTTTTGAATAAAATGTAGTTCTACTGATCTTTCGCATTCTCTATTCTACTATCCTAACAAGTCGTTCCACTTTCATATGTACTAGACAACTCTAGTTAAATTTAATTCATGTTCCAAGTTATATATAATTGAAGGAGTTGCCTCAGCCAATAAGTATATATAATTTCTGGTAGTTATTTATGTCGAGGACCAAGTGTCTTGTTTTACTTTGAGTAAATTAAACATTTACTTTGAGGAAATAATGGGGAACTTATTTGATTATAAGATGATCCAGGACAAGTTAGGTATCACTCTTTTTAATGTTAAGGTCTCTCCGATTAAGTTGGTTCCTAAGGGTTCATCGACTTTATGGGAGTGCTTGAAGATGTCTTTGTGAAGGTTAACCAATTAATTTTTTTAATTGACTTTTACATTTTAGATAAGGATGACAATCCTAACCACACCACAAAAATTTTATAGGAAGAATATTCTTGATGACAACAAGGATAACGATTGTTGCACACACGAGCACAATGCCAATGGATTTTGGAAATAATGTAGTCTAGCTCAACATTTTTTAAGCCATGAGACATCCAATTGAGAACTATTCATTATTGCATCATCGTTCTATTTTCATGTATTGTAATGTAAATATGAATAATGTGGATAATATTTGTACAAATTTAGAATTAGGAGTAGATGTAATGTTTGTACAAGTTTAGAATTAGGAGTAGATGTAGATTTTGATTTTGAATTTGTAGGCTTCAACATGGTGGAATTTATAGGGTGTGATTGGGTTCTGTGATATATGTAATGAGATAAATGTTGTTTTGGAATCCAATTCAGTTTGTTTTGCAGGTGCAGCCGCAATTTCCATTGAGGAGCAATAATAGCCAAAATGATATTTGAAGTATGCTACTTAGATGCAAACCATAATTTCCCTATAATTATAGTCACGGTCTATTGGAGAATCAAGAAAATAAATTGTTGCAAGTGTTGAAAAGAGCCATAGGTTGGTCTTTAATGGATATACGGAAAATTAGTCCAACTGTTTGCATGCACCAGATCCTATTGGAAGAAGAAATGAGACTAGTAAGACAACCATAAAAAAGATTGAATCCTAACATTTTAGATATAGTTAGCGAGAAGGTAGTCAAGTTGCTTAAAGTCGAAATTATTCGAGATAGTACTTGTGTATCTCTTGTCCAAGTTGTGTCAAAGAAGTATGAAATTCTTGTGGTACAAAACAAAGACAAGTTTGTCTTAACAAGGTAGTCAATGAATAGAAAGTTTTCATTGATTATAGAAAGTTCAATAAAAAAAAGTTACGTGAAACAACATAAACTCAATATTATAAATAAATAAAAAAGACACATTTTGCCGATTAATTATAATACGTAATATGAATAGAAAAAGAAAATGTTTATATATACTTATCGAAACAAACTATTTATAGTGAAAAAAATAAAAAGAAAAATAAAATAATTTTTTTATAAATTAATTAATATTTAAATCAATAAAAAATTAGTTCAAATTTATAAATTAATTTGAATTTATAAAAAAATTATTTATTTATTATTTTAATACAAAAATAATCTTTAAAAATATAGTTGTGAAGTAAGGAAAGAAAGAAAAATAAAATAAAATAGAGTAAAAATATTATTATTCATTTAATAAAAATATATGACAATTAAAAATATTTATTTTAAAAAATAATAAATAATTAAATTAAAACTAAATATTTATTTAATTATAAAATAACTCATATAATTATTAATTAATTTGTTATTAATAAAATAACTTATTAAAGTAATTACTTTAAATTATATATTTAATTATTTCAATATTATATATTTGATATATAATTATAACAATTCCAAATTTCACTCTGTCATAATTGTCACTAACATGAAACATCTCATTCTAATTATTTTGGACATAAAAACCAACCAATATCACTCATGGACAACCTTATTTAAGGTTTAAGCTAAAATTCATTACGTGCTTGAACATATCATCCCTCCCACGGAGGTCGTTGTCATAACAACATATAAAATAGTCAAGATCGTTGATCTCCCTCTATGGAATCGCCTTGATGTTATTGTTCTCCAATGGATTTATGCTATTGTATCTCCCGATATTCTCGCATTGATCCTTGTTGTTGAAGATTCGCGCTAAAGTTTGGCAGCGTATAGGCGACTTAATTTCAAGATAATGAAAACATTAAGACAAGTATATCTTAAAACTCAATTCACGAGCATGACCTTAG